CACACACACACACACACACACACACACACACACACACACACACACACCAGTGCTGTCATGGCACCGAACAAGGCAGTGCTGGTTGTACACTGAACAACTGTAGGGCATGCCACAGGAGTTAGGGGCAGAATTCTCGGGACCCAGATCAGTGTTCCACCTCTCGAGTCCTTCCACCATCCCTCTCTCCCCTGGAAAAATACCCGATCACATCAGCACTTACTCACAACCACACCAGCAAATGGTTCGCTGCCCAAGAATTTCCAAATGACCCACCTTGAAGTCTGAGTGAATAAATTACTGTAATAGAAAATTTTAGCATGTGCCCGAAATAAATTTCTCTTTAAGTATGCTGTCCAAATTGTTCAGGAAGATCCCTTAGGTTTTGTAAGAGGTAATGTAATCAGCTAGAATCACAGAGTCCTCTACGCCAGTCTAATTTGCTAAGCACCTTGCAGCATGTAGGATCCTGTCACACATGACAGGGTGCTAAGAGACTGAGTCCTAAAATATTAATTTAGGGTTCACCCCATCTTGGATGCTTGTAGAGGTAAGCAAAGCACCCAAATATTCCAAATATACATCCTTATGCGTTTCTTGGTAAATTTAACTAAGAGACTATATGAAAATCATCTAGGATGGTGTTTTGCAATTATCTACATATACCAGTAATTTCCTTTATCCAAGAAATGCACTCCTTTATCCATGGTTACCTCCCATTCCCTGTCACTTGTCATGTATGGTACTCATTTTATTTGCCAAATAGACCAGTCAATTTGATCACAAATAAAAATAGGTGTAAAACCAACACATATGCCTAAGAAATACCCAGATATTACTAGACAGACTTACTATCTATAAGGTTAAAAGTTTGATGGACCCTAATATTATTTAATTTTAAAATCATTTTGAAAGGAAACAAATAAATAAATTCACACCTGAGTGTGGTAAAATTATGGTGATGTGGACCTTTCCAAGGCCTAGAGACGAGGAGCAAAAGAGGATGGGTGTATTTCAAACAGTCAAAAGGAACAAGCTTATGACACACAACTTGGCATCTTGACTGAGCTGTGATGTGAATGTTAACACTGCATAAGACCAAACATAAATAATTAATAATTATTTATTAAACATAAATAATAAATAATTATACATTAAATTCTAAGGCTCTGAGAAAGATGCAGGGTCATCAATGCCAATTTTGTAGTTTTAAAAGTATACTATAGATTTTGCAAGATGCTGCCACTGGGAGGAACTAGGTCAAAGAAAGGCTGGATATCTGTTTCTTTCCACAGCTTACGAACCTGCAATTGTCTGAAAATAAAAAGTGTATTCTAAATGATAAGATAGGGACTGGGGAGATGCCTCAGCAGGTAAGAGCACTTGCTGTTCAAGTGTAAGGGACTGAGTTCAAATTCCCAACACCCATATGAAAAGCTGGGCAAGGCTGCGTGGGGACATGCGAGCGCAGCACTGCTGAGGGCATAGGTGGGAGAATTTCTGGGGCTTACTGCATACCAGCCTCACTCCAGTTTCAACAAGAGACTCTGTCTCAAGGAAACAAGGCAGAGAGTGATAGAATAGAATCATGACATCCTCCTTTATCCTTACAGGCACACACATTGCACATACCTGCATATCCACACACATGTACATACAGCACACACTCATGCATGCACACACACACACTCACAATATGAAAAGAAGACAAAACGGAAAAATCTAAATAAAAATAATTGAGCAAAAGCAAAATAGTCCTGGGAAGGGCTTGTGCTAGGAAGACAGTGGGACACTCTTTCCTAGAACACACGTGTCTAGTTGAAGACAAAGTAGACGGATGAAAAATGAGGCAAAGATGAAGCCATTTCAAGACCTAAATGAACAAGTGTACTTTCCAGAATTATCTGTTGCCACTGCTTTTAAATACACAACAGAAACTCACCCACATAAATAGGTTGACTCCACTCGCCCCAGCTTCCAGATGCTCTGCAAAATGAGCTCACAACTGCTCTCACTTGAATAGAGTATGTAGATACATCATCAATTTTTGAGATGAATTTGTTGGTGGCCAGTTTTTCCATCTAAATGGGGGAAATTAACATTACAATAATGCCTAGACATACAATTTTTGCAGAACACCAGTATGGGAGGTCTCATGTAGGTAATGTGACTCATTATTTAGCAAATAATCTAAAATCAAAAGGGCATAGTCATGAGTTTATTCTACACTGTTCCAGTGTGAGGTCTTGGCAGTTACCCTGAGGGAGAAGGTGATCTTGTAACTAAAATATACAAAATGGCCAGCTGAAGGACTAGGTGAAGTTGTGTAGACAGAATAATATTTCCTATGGAAAGATTGGAGTCATCTTCAACACCATACATAATCTCTGTTACCTTGTCCTTCCTCATTGGTAAGTCATAGTACTAAACAGCATGTATTTTGTGCCTGTTAATCCCTGCCCAATGGTCACACCCTGTGTAGGCTTTCTGCTTTATTGCTTGGATGGTCCTAATAGCTCACATCTCTGTAGCCGCATGCTCCCCACTCCCACCCAGCTTTCACACTGCCACCGAGATTACCCTTCGACCCTGTAAATGCTACATTTTTCGATCATGTAAAATCCTTTGATGCTGCTCATTGTCCATGGCCGTGGTTTTAAAGTTGTCAGCTTTTAGTAAAAAACCTCACAGAGCTACTCTGAAGTTCCTATTTTAGTAGAGTTACAAGTCTAGTCTTAGCCTTGTGTGGAGGCCAGCTCAGTCACTACCCCTTAACTGAGGGAAGCATGCAGTCTCAAGCCTCTGGTACACCCTAGCAGGGACAGTGTGGTTGTGGACTGGTACAGGCCAGGAAGTGCTGATTGCCGCTATATGATAAGATCTGTGCAGGCAGTGAGAGCCCTGTTTAGAAATGGAGAACCGTTGGACATGACTGTAACGTCCAAGCACATAATCAGTTGGTTTGTATTTTCATATCTTTGGCTGTATTTGTTTTGTTTGTTTCCTAGCTGGTCCTTATTGAATGTATTTTATAAAACTGCTAATCTATGGCAGATTAGAAATTTACAAGAGAAAGCCAGTCCTTCACAAGAATATTTCTGGAAACACACCCCATGATGTCCTTCTCTCTTTTATTCAGTAGGTGAGGTTCTGTCTGGCCCTTCACTCCAGCTCTGGTTGCATTCAGCTCCAAGCTGTAGAGGCTGACAAGGCTGTTTTCCCCCCCCCCTCTTCTGTACTCTGTTAATCTTTCCTTAGGTACAGAGGCTCTGGTGCCATTTACCAGAGCAGGACTCATATGTCTATTTATTTTTATTTAATTTATTTATTTTTATTGTATTTTGCTGTTGGCAGAGGCTGCTTGTTTGCTTCCTGACAGTCCAGACCCAAAATAATCACACAGAAACTATATTTTTTGCAATACTGTTTGGCCAATACCTTAAGAGTCTTTCTTGCTAGCTCCTATATCTTAAATTAACCTGTTTTTATTAATCTGTGTATCACCATGTGACTGTGGCTTACCAGGCAAAGGTTCGACATCTGTCTCCTCTGGTGGCTACATGCCTTCTCACTGACTCTGCCTACTCTCTATATATATATATCTGTATGTATGTCTGTGTGAGGAACCAGACAGCTATAAGAGACCATGTGGGCGCTGGAAATTGAACCTGGGTCATCTGGAAGAGCAGTCAATGCTCTTAACCACTGAGCCATCTCTCTAGGCCCATACCCACCTATTTTTATGTGAATTACCTGCTTGGCAGATCATATGAAAGTAGTATGCCCCATGATATAGCACAAAATTTAAAATTAATATAACATATGAATTAGTCTATTTCGGACTACAAAAAAACAAGACCTTATTTCTCTTTATGTATTACCCTAAGAAACCTATTTGTAGATAGTGGTTAAATTTAATTAAACTGTGTTTACTTTGTTTCTGTTACTTATTTTTGCATAGTAAAATATTTATTTGTGTATATGTATTGTGTATGCCCCAGCATGGATATAGAGGTGAGAGGACAACTTGAGGCTGTCTCTTCTCTTCTTCCACCTTGTAGGCTCCAGGAACTGAACTCAAGAAAGCTTGCTTAGCAGCAAATGCCTTCACCAGCTGGGCCGTCTCACAGGTTCTTCATTTATTTTATTTGTAGGACATGAGGTTGAATCCCAACTTCTATGTTTCTTCTTTAGCTTCATGACTGAGAAATTATTCATCTTTTTGGGGGGATGGGGCTTAATTGTCAATAAAACAGAAAACATAATTATGCAAGTTATTGTAGACATGGCATAAAATAACATAAAAAAACTCCATGGATATAAGATATGCCACCTGCACCATTGTCAAGTGTGCAGGCCAAAAATGTTGAACAGCCATGCTGTTGTGCAACCAGACTGCAACACTGTTTTCATCTTGCAAGTCTGAAGTTGCTGGTTGAGGGTGTGTCTCATGCTCTGCATGCATGAACCTCTCTCTTTAATTCCCATCATCCAATGATCAAAAATTCACAATCTGGATACTCTGTTTTCGTTAGACAATGGTTCCTCATTTTCCTTTCCCCATTTCCTGGCAGCCATTGTGCTAATTTCCGTTTACATGTGTTTTTACTAACCTTGGCATCTCACACAGGCAGAATCGTACACTATTTGTCCTTTGTGATCTGTTTATTTCGCTTTGCTTGCTGTCCTTCGGTTCATTCATATTGCAGCATGTATCAGAGTTTTCTTTCAAAGACTGAATATTGTCTCTTTGTGTATATTAATATATATCATATTTGTTTTTCTTCTTTCTTTCTCTCTTTTTTTCGTTTGGTTTTTCAAGACAGGGTTTCCTTATGCGGATTTGGAACCTGTCCTGTTTTCTTGCTCTATTATAGACCAGGCTGACCTTGAACTCACAGAGATCTACCTCTGCCTCCCGAGTGCTGGAATTAAAGGCAGTGGGCACCATCACCGTCCGGCAATACATTCTGTTTTTCTATTCATATTCTATTGGGTTTGGCTTGTTTGTTTTCAGCTAAGAATCTTGCTATATAGTTCAAACTAGCTTCAAATTTACACCATTCCTTTCTCAGGCTCCCTCCTGGGTGCTGGAGTCAGAGATGTTTGCCTCCAAACCTGACTATATTCATGTGTTAAATATGGAGGCTGCTTCAGCTCTTCACAATTGGCTATTGTGAGTAATGCTCTTGTGAGCATGGGTGCCCAAATATCTTTTTGAGACCCTGTTTTGAAATCATTTGCATATATACCTAGAAAAAGGACCACAGGCTCTTATAATAATTCTAACTTTTGGAAAACTTGCCTTCCCATTTTCTCCAGTAGTTGTATCATTTGTATTTTTAGCAAAGCTCCTACAAATGGGTTTCATTTTATCCTTTATATTATTTTCAACTCAAAGTATGTCCTTTCAAAATGAAAGTAATGTAAGATTTGATTTATTTCTGTAATACCTGGGGCAGGTGTAAGCAACATTGACTTTGTTGATACTTAAAAACAGCCAAAGCAGTCACTATGTTTAAAGCAGCAGCTCTCAACTTGTGGGTTGCAACCCCTTTGACAAACCTCTATATCCAAAAATATTTACATTAGGTCTCATAACGGTATCAAAATTACAGTTATTTAGCAACAATGAAAACGACTTTGTGGTTGGGCATCACCACAACATGAGGAACTGTATTAAAGGGTCACAGCATTAGGAAGACTGAGAGCCACTGTTTTAAATGTTTCACAAATAATGGGTGTCTAACATAGAATAAAGGAATGATATTAAAAAGTACCTGAAAGTAGCCATTCTTTGTGTTGTGAATTTTCAATTCGTAGTTAAAGCAATGGACTGGAAAGGCAGAGACTGGTTTCTCCCATTGGATATAAAGAGAAGTTTCTTCAATTTCAACTGTGACATTCCTTGGAGGATTCACTTGATCTAGATAAGAGAAGAGATAGGTCTGTGGCAGTTCTGAAAACCCAATGATCAGGGCTGATAGCCCAACCCACCATTTCTAAGATATGCCTTTTCAAGGTTTACCATTAGGTCTCAATCAAGCGATCTCAAAGCCACAGGAAGTGAGTGGCTTCCCAAGAGGTTCTTGGTATGGCTCGCTGAGTAGATCTACACATATAAAGAACAAAATCACTACTCCAAAAGGAACTGATTGATTGACACTTTTCCCCTATTAGCTCCTTGCAAGGTGTACCCAGCATCCCTTTAACTTTCCAAGTTAGACTGTGCTCATGGACAGAACATGGACCGTTTGATCCATGTCCATTTCCCAGCAGAGGGATAGCTCTGGGTAAATCACTACTCCTTTCTGGTTTCAGTATTTATTTATTTGTATTATTGTTGTTCTGTTTTGTCATATAGAAAAAGAAGCTTCTACATAAAAAGAACAGCTTAAGCTAAATAAATCTATACAGGAGTAAAATACTTTCATACTGGTGTCAGGACCTGAGTTTGGATTCCCAGCACCCAGGTGAAAACAGCTGTAACCCCAGAGCTGGGGTTGGAGGTTGGGTAGTAGAGAGAAGTGGATCCTAGGGCCTAGTCTAACAAAAATGACAAGTTCCAGATCCAGTGAAAGTCTCTGTGCCCTACAAAATAAAGCAGAGAAGCAAGTGAGGAAGATATCCTGATGATAATCCCAGGCTTCTGCATGGACCAGCGCACCTGCACAAATACACATACAGCACACATACGCATATGAAGAAAAATGAAAGACAAAGAAAAGAGTGGGGAAGCAAAGAGGAAGGTGGAGGAGAAAGAGACCTGTGTACATATTGTCTAAAAGTCTAGCAATGAATCCAAACCACTACAGAGACGCAATAAAAACTGAGATGGTTAGCTTTGAAGGAGGAGCCACAGGATGGAGAAGCTTTGGACTGCGGAAGAGCAACACCTTGGGGAAGAACCTCAGAACTGTTCTGAGTACAGTCTAGTATAAGACCTGTGGACACACATTTCATGATAGCAGCCTGAACAATAAGCACTGCTATAACTTTTCCTGGTGCAATTATTCTCAACTGGAGAGAACTCCACCCTCAAAAGGATATGTCTGAGGTTTGAATAGTCACAACTAGGATAGGGGAACCAGCAGGAAAGATACGAGTTAGAAAATTCATGGATGGGGTCAACAAGGCCACTAAACATCTTCCCATGGCTAGGACAGGTCCCTACATTGCCAAATCATCCAGTCAAATGTTTACGGCGAGTTAAAGTTCGGATGACTGCCTCAGTTTTTTTTTCCATGTTGATTATATGGTTGTTTAATATTGAAAAGTAGCAAGACGCTTTCCAATGCCAAGATTGTGCTATTGCATTATTCCGATGTTGAGTTAAGTCTGGCTTACCAATGGAATGTGGAGTGAACAGCTGATCGAAGGGCTTGATTGCAGCATGCTTGCTTGAGCCATTAATGTGTACTGCAAGCTGCTCAAACCCTTTGCTGTTGATAAATGTCCTGGGAAACCAACATGCAGTATTTCTGTTCAGTGTATCTCTGCTGTATTCTTGGCATTCTTCAGTCCAAACACCAAACCTAAATTGGGATACCATTAGTTTTGATAAGGGAAGAGGAAATGGATAATTTGCATGAGTAAAAATAGATACTGACCTATAGTATAGGAAGTACTGTGTGTCTTCAGGGGCATCCTTGCCAACAAGCCAGGTGCAGCGAAGAGACACTTGGTATGGCTTTACGTGGGTGTGACTACTCACGACAGTGTTTGTGGCACACGTCAAATTCATAACCGAGGTTCCTGAAGACCCTAGGCGACCACAAATAAAAAGAACAAAACATTGCTTTGATGGCTTATGAATTTTGTGCTTTTGCTTGAGATACTATTGATTGTGAGTGACCATGAACAACTATTTATAGAAACTCATTTGCAAAGGGCAAATTTACTGGAGAAATGAAACTAGAGCTATAGAGCCTCAGGGTTTGACCTGAAAGAACTTCGTGGCTGTGTTAGCAGAGGACATGGGGACATGTCAGTCAGACGGATATTTGAAAGTTCAAGTCTGGGGTCATGTGTCCAACAGCTTCACCACTGCAGTGCTAGGTTTGTCAGTACCTGTCTATGAGGCATTTCCCCCTGTAATGGCTGGATTCCAGTTTTTCCAGCTGTAAATGAGAGGTTAGGTCAATGAATCTCTCCAGAATCCCCTTCCCTCCTGAATCATATGAGCCATTCCTTGGTATCTATGCCTCATGAATTGCATGGATTGCTGCTCAAGAGATGCATTTGGCCATACCCCAAGATCTTACCATTACATTAGAGATCCTTAACATACGATAACTTAAAATCTGAGATTTCAAAGATTTGTTGTTTCTCAAAGGAGGTGAAAAAATATTTTGTGTGCTAGAGTCAGGGAGAACCTCCCTAAAGAGGAAACCCTGAATGATGGATAGGTTTTTATTTTTTTTCTAAAAACAGCTATAAATTAACTTTCTTCACTGTCATTGAATGTCTTTCAGTGGACACAGGGAGTGAGTGAGAAAAGAGTGCATCCTATTACCATATGGAGGTTGGAGACAGAATGCATATTATATATAACATAGACACTTATGTATCTATAAAATCATGCCTCTGTATCTATGGTATTTGTTCCAGAACATTCCCTCCATACTAAGATGGCATCTTATATGATGCTATCTTGCATATAACTTACATAGTCTCTGGTCTACTTTAAATCCATTCTAGACAACTTAGAATACTTAATGTAAGCACTTAACAAATAGTTTCTAGATTGTCTTATTCAAAAAACAGTGGCATGAAACAATCTGTTCACGAGCAGTATGGGTGATTCAATGCTTTTGTTATAGAGTGCTTTTGAACCCCATTTAGTTGAATCCATGAATGTGTAGCCTATGGATACAGGGCTTCTCTTCTCACTCTGTGTGTGTATACATGCATGTATGCATGTGTCCACATACTAAACATCCACACAGTCTATGTGATGTCAAAGTAAGTCAGCAGTTTCCCAGCTCCAAACCAAGAAATAATTCAGTATGAATTTTCACTTGGTCAGTGGACTAAATAATATTTGATTAGTGTAAACATGTATGGGGGTCTATGGGAGTAAATTGTAGAAACTTAGCACTGAAAGGAATATCACACTGAAGAAGTTCAGCTAATCAGTAGAGGTCTAGTAATACCTTAACACAATGGCCCATATTTATATTTATTGAAGTACCTCCTTAATTGGGGGCAAGTCTGTTGGTAACTCACTGGAAAATGATGAGTAAATACAAGCACCTTTGTTGTTACCAATACAGTTCAGGGGCTTTGGTCAAGTGTGCACCAGGTTCTATTTGTTAAAGACTATTCTGCAGCCCATGATGTAGTTGGGAAGTAGAGAACCCTTTATGAACTGGGGCCTTTGGGGAAGTCTTAGTGGACAAACCTTTAAAGGAAATGATACTTGGACCCTTGCCCTTTTCATGCCTGCATCTCACTTCCTGGCTGCAGACTTCTACCACCTGCTTCTAGAATGATATACTGTGTTGTTACACAGACTAAAATTAGGCCTGACAGGTCATGGATGGAAACCCCCACCAAAAGCAGAAGCTAAAATAAGAGTATTATCTTACATATTTGATATAGTAAAAAGAAAGCTGACTAATAATGCAGGAGGCAGGATCTTCTTCTCCAATGATGGAGATAGAAGAAAGACTTGGAAAACAATCATAGACATGGGGCTAAGATGTATATGATTTAGGAAGTCACATATCCCAGGATCTGATGGTCAGTCTCCTCCTTTTATTTTACTCTCGTGCTTGTGTCTGTCTGTGTTAAAATGTTTAACCAGAGTTATCTCTGCTTATGTGTATTAGAATTCCCAGCTTTCATTGAAGACCAATGTAGATACAGGGGTGTGCTTGCAGGGATGCAACATGTGGACCTGGATGGCCTATGACAGTTGTAGTTAGAATGTAGGTGCTGTGAAGGAGATTGGAAGGTGTGGCGCTGGACTACAGAAAAGTGGATTACTTTCTTTCCCATTTTGGAAAGTGTAAAATATGAAATTTAGATGTCCCATGCCGCCTTTACCTGGTGAAGCTTTGAGTTCAGCAGAAACCCAACTGCTGGCCAGGAAAAAGTGGCTTCTCCGTAGGATGCTTCTCACACTAGCTGCAAAGCCATTGTGCAGAGGGGCCACATATTTGCTTTCAGTCTTCCTGGTATTATACTAAAATAAAGCCCACCAGTGGTGGCACATAAGAGAAAACAACATTAATCAAATAGGCCTTTTAGTCCACTTTGAAAATGATAATAAATAAAATGGAATAAAGTAATTTTCTTAGGAAAGGGGCTTTGTAATATTAATATAATTTCTCAATGACATGTGAACATAGTTCTCTTTTAATGACAAACACCATATTGTATTTAAAGTTCAAGTTCCTTTGATTCTCATCTCTAATGCCGGTCTCCTCTCTAAGAGAAACTTCTTGACATGGAATTCTTTAAAATTCCGTGTTTACTCTGAAATGGTTAATACAAATCACATCTCCCTTTCTTTCACCTTACTACAAAATGATACACAGCAGGTGTGTTAGCACATCCTTATCACAAATCCAAGAAATCAACTCAAGACTTGAGTATGGAAACATCGGTGGTCAATGAACTTGGCCTTCACCTTGGGTTTCCCAAGCCTATACCTTTACCTTGTACCATTTTTCTCACTACTTTCTTCTCATTTTATTGACATTTTAGGAGCTATATAAGCAGTACTATCAAACACATTACACTTCAGATAATGGTAAATAGTTGGAAAGAAGGCTCAGTCAATGAACACAATGTCAGTGAACACGACTTCAGCTTGGGTCCCTAAAACACACGTAAAATTCAAGCACATAGCAACGTGCTCCTGTAATTCCAACACTGCGGGGAGGGCAGAGATAGGTGCATAATTGAAGTCTAGTCAGATTGATCACCTTGCAATTCAATGAGAGACTTCTCTCAAAAAAAAAAAAAAGAAGTCTTCGAGAGGAATCAAGGGAAGTGTCAACCTGTGGCCTTCAAACCCCTGCACACACACACGCATGTGCACACACAAACACACACACGTGACGAGTGCATAACACACGTGTACATTCTTTCTCTCTCTCTCTCTCTCTCTCTCTCTCTCTTTCACACACACACACACACACACACACACACACACACACACACGAGAGAAAGAGAAAAAGGGGGAGAGAGAATTTTCCTCAAGATAAAGCCTTCTATGCTACTGTTTCATTTTGAATAATAAACATGGGTCAAATTCACTTTACAGATCCTACTGGTAACATAGAAAGATCTTTAGTAATTGATTGTTATTTATCAAGAATTTCACTTTATGAGTAAAATACAGTTTAAAAATGAATATTCAGTCTCTGTAATGATTGCCATCAGACCCAGCACTTACATCATCTTCTTGTGGAGCATGTATTTTCACATGATATCGTAGCTCAACATTGCTTTGCTCTTGGTCAGGGTTTGGGTCCCAGTGTAAAAGAACTTGGGCTATTCCAGTGGCTTTAATGGTAAAATTGACAGGTGGCAGAAGTAAAACTATTGATTCAAAAAACAACAACAACGAATGATGCAATCGACGTTCAACTGTCCATAAAGAGCACTCTCTGTGTACGGTGATGGAAGTGAAACTCAGGGCCGGCGAATGTGGGACAGGTATATTACCACTGGGCTCTATTCCCTGTCCTTAATGTATTTTAATTATTTATCTTATTAAGTAACATACTGGTTTGTTGTGGCTTCTGAGAATATATGACACAGAAGTAATTTGACAAACGTTTCTTTAAAGTTATTGCTTGTTCATTATCCAGGTGTTACCTGAATATTTGCATGGTTTTATTGAATATGAACAATCTACCATATTGCTGTTCATTAGAGCTGTAGTTGTCACAATAAACTTCATAACCAGTGAATGGTATGTGATAACAATTTCTAACCCCACTTCTTTCCTTTTCAGAATACTATAGAATATAAATCGAACACACCAGGGGCTGGGGAAGACATATATCAAACATGAAAAGAGTTGCCTCATGGACATCTGGTTTCCATTGCATAAAAGTACCTACTTATGTGTAAGATCAGTGATTCATGCTGTAAATGTATTTATTTCTCAGTATGAGCCATAGTCTAAAGTATCTGAGTAGAAAAAAAGGATTTGCTTTCAAAATAAAATATTTTACTTAATTAAGGTATCAGTACTTATTGTAGAAATTCTGTAAAACCTAAGCAATAAGAAGAAAGTAAAAAAAAAATCAATCCACATCTTATTTTGTTATGTTTATCTGGGTGTATGTTTAAACAACTTCTTAAAATTTTTCACCCAAATCAGGGCGACACTATACATTGTAAAACACCCAATCTTTAACCTATTCATTTACTGAATTGTCAGTGTTTTCCATTGATGTTTAGAAGCCCTTCATGACTCTGCCCCTGTGTTTGACATGCAGAACTGTCTATGTAATTCACCTTTATTCCAGCAACCGCTGGCTACTGTGACTTTTCCGATCTTAGTTAGCTACATTTCGATTGGTGGTTAAGTGGGCAGTGGCTATGCGCTGGGCAGTACCGAACTAGAAGACCGTCTTTATAGAGGGTTCTAGGCAGAGCTAGGCTGGTGCCATCAAGCAGTTTCCCCCTCTTAACCTCCGTCATCGTACTAAACCCTTAGATCAACAAGTTTCAGGGGGGAAATGAAAAGAAAAATGGTGTAAGTTAGCTTTTGCCTCTTGTGAAGACTTTTATGGAAGTCCCGGCGGAGGTCGGGTTCAAAATGTGGCCTTCAGAGACTGCCCTCTTCCACAATGTCCATATTTACTCTTAGAATTGAATTTGCACGGTAGCATAGAATTTACATTTCTGCCCACGCCGCTTCCTTAAAATCTCAAGAGTTTATACTGTTTTATAAAAATTTCCCAATTGAATGCTTATTTCAGAGAAAATTCCATTATCTTTTTAATAATATACTTTAACAAAACAAACATTATTAGATAGAAGATCCTTACCCTTTTTGTCAGAAAGTAAGTCAGCTTGCAGTGTTGCCCAAGACCCCACAAGAATTAGTACCGTAGGCAGCATGATGGTCAAATCCTATGGGAAACGTGGAAGACAAATGTTAGGTCATCACATTGTCATTTCTAAGGAAAACTGGCTGCTACTTTCTAGCACACAATCAGGTAGTTACTTAGCAACTGCTTATGATCTCTCTGGCATGCTGGGAATGCAAACGTATGGGGCTTTGCTTTTGGGTTGCAAAATCATGGTCTGTTGGGATAGAATGACATGCAAATCATTAATTCATTGAAAAATTGCTCACAGTGTGATGGGTCGGGGCCCAATTGATGCAAAGAGACTTCTGATTTGACTCACAAAGGGTGAATTAAAGTTCACAACACACACTAGGAGAGATTCCGCTGGAATCCACTCAACAAATGTGTAGAGCTAGAAGAAAATGAAGGAAACAGGAGAGGATTAGTATTCAGGACTTAGAGCAGGCCCCAGGATGAGAAAGGTCCTAAGCAATTAATAGCAAACATAAGCACTACCAGTTTAATTCATGTGTTTTAAAATCAGGGACTTGGTGATAGGAAGTCCTAGGTTCGACCCCCATCACCCTTTCCCTTAACGTCAATATGACAGGAAACTTACATTGATAGCAATGTGTAATGTGAGAAACAGAAACTTTTTTTTTTTAATCCAGTATAAATTTATAGTGCTTTGAGTTTGGGAGAAGATAATTTATTGTCTTAAGAACCCAAATTAGAACAGGACAGGGGAGGACAAAGAAACATGGCCACACACTTGGAAAAAAAAAATCTAAAAATTTCTCCCTCCAGAAAACAACTTCACAAGGAGGTGGGTGGAGAGTAAGTATGTTAGGTTAAGGGAATGAGGAAAAACAGTCTCAGCCCTTGAGGTCAAGGATAATGCAACAGCTGGGACCTGGAGATCAGAGATTTGGAGTTTTTCCCAGAGATTTTTCTGGAGCTCGACCTTAAGGATGAAAACTGTGTGTGGCTTCCATCTGGGCTGTGCCTTCTCACTTAAAACAATTTAAGAAATTAGTTATTGATTCAGCACGTGTGTGTGTGTGTGTGTGTGTGTGTGTGTGTGTGTCTGTGTGTGTGAACTTGGATCACACCTCAATCTCAGACTACAAAATGTCTGATTTTGAAGCTTGATAGTAATCAAAATGACTTACAGGGCTAGGATGTAGCTCAGTGGGAGGATCTTGCTTAGAACATGGGAGACCTTGGTTAGCCCCTCAGCACTTCCACAATAAGTATTTTTTTAAGAATGAATCAATAAGAGAAGTTTTTACTTAAAAATTATTTCAGTGGCTAGACATTTTCAAAGTCTAATTCCAGTGCAGTCAAGGGTAAGACCTCCATTAAATGGATGAATTCGAAAAACGAATACCAGACACTTTTGCTTCATTATTTAATCACGTCTTACAAGATCTTACTTAACATACTGTTATTACTGTTCAAGTTGGAGTAATAACGCAACAGCCATAAAGGGAGAACATAAAAGGGAGAACATTTGATTCTTTCTTTTTCCTTCTTTATTTTCAAATAAACTTATCAGAATTATGACAATTTTCACCAAAATAATCCTGTTTCTATTTCTGTGACACTTCCACCCATATACGTGATTTTTTACGCCAATCATTTTCATGACAATGAAACAGACACTGTAACAGTCTTCTAAATTTTCCACACGCCAGACTTTTTATGAGCCTAAGGGAAGCATTTCTAACACACTAAGCCTGAGAAGCTCAGATGAAATATCCTTAGAAACAACAAAGACAGCCGCTGCTTCGAATTATGAATGCTACGTCTTCAGATGCCAGCATTTCCTGACATCATGTTTAATATGCCCTACCTTCACTGGTTTTCATTACCAGGAGTTCTAGGTCAGGAAAAAAAAACGTCAAAATTAATACCCTGTAGTGACTTTTACTGACTGGTAGAACAGGAAGTGTCTTAATACAGTGCTTGTAAAAATAACAAACATCTGTTTATCCTTTGCAATTAAATTGTTGAAGTAAATAATGACTCTGTTGAATATCTCAGTGGGGAGGTAACTGAATATTTTATATCAGTAAGCGCTCTCCCTTAGAATTTACCTTGCATTTTGATTTTATAGCTGCTAAAAATAGAATTCTCTTTCAAGCTTAATAACTCAAACATATTTTTACTAAGTTTTGACCATTAATGGCAACATGCTTTTTTTCTCATCTCCCCAGTTTTATACACCATAGGCAATATGTTTGAGAAAAAAAATCAGTTTTCCTATAAATAGCACAAAGGTGCTCAAATAGACCACAGACATCCCAAAGTTGAGTAGAAAAATTTCAACAAAGGCTGGATACTACTGGAACTTCAACATCTGATTCCGTGTTTCCTGTGATTAGCTGACTCAGTTTCCTCAACCATCTCTATGCTTGGTCTCTGTGTGACTGTTTAAAGCACATGAGCCCTTTGTAGGAGCTGTCATCTATGGTTAGGGATCAAAAGGTTAAAGTTGTTTGGTTCATGCATTCAAAGTTACACTATTATCAAATGAACTGTAAGCCATATACTAAAATATAGTTAATACGATAGCCTTATTTACTTGTATAGCCTCAAGATGACAATATCCCTAACTCATTTTTTTTTGGATATCAGCTAAAACACAACCCAAAGCCATTAGATTGTTAAATTAAAAAGAATAAAATAAACCAAGATTGCCTATCTACAATTAGAAATATGTTCTTTATCTTTGAAGGTGACCAGAAGGAATTTGTTCATGTGACAAATTTAAATTTGTGAGTAAATTTAAATTTCTTGAGTGCCCTCCTTGAAATTTAGAAGAAAACAGGAGTGCAGTCTCTCTCATGACAGACGTTTCTAGAAACTAAGTTGAGTAAGGCTTTAGCCATTGGTGATGGACTTCCCCGGTGTTCCTGAGAATTGGCCAAATTCTGTTGAAGTTCAGAAATAAAATTTTCTCTTTCCAAATAATTCTTCTGTCTGGAGCATTCATTTACAACCAAAATTATATTGGTAGTCCTATTTTTAGATCTTTTGTGAGTGACTTGTAGTAACATCTAACTCCAACCATCTGAGTGGCAGAAATTGAAAAGCCAATGGGAGAATTCATGTTCTTTTAATTTATTACAAAGAAAGAATTGGTTTCCCTTTTTTAACCCCCTGCAGTCAGCCACAAAACTCAGTTCTGGATTAGGGGAATGAATGCATAAACCAAAGGATATGTTGAACTAGATACACTGTGTTACACATACAGTGAAAAACTGGATATGCTTATAATAATATAAATGAGCAACAGCATAACATATACAACACTTTATTTTTCCCACTACTATACTTCTGAATAATCCTCAAATATCACCCTCAGGTTCAAGTTGTGGCCACGAATAAAACACTCCATAAGTCCAGATGCAAATACCCGCCACCCTTAACATTCTGTATAGAGAAGGTGTTTGCTACAAGTATCCCAATACTTAAATACATCCTGCCAATCTCATTTGGCACTAAGTATTATCCATATAGATGCTTCCTCGTTGGTGAACATACCTGTCTATGCAGCTCCCTTCAGTTCCAGAGGTTCTCGGCATTAGAAACCGAGGACCACAGCCGCCAGTCAAGCCTGGTTTCCCATCAGAGCCCCGGTACCCAGCACGCTATCAAGTGCAGGTCGCATGCCTCTTAGGTTTGGTCCTGTGAAGAATAGGGACAAGTCAGCACCCAGCCCTGATGAGCCAAAGCAGGTCTGTTTAACGTGATCAAAGGGACACCTTAGGTCCACTATGGGACTGTGTGGGAAACACCTAGCAAGCCTGGCTCTTTGTGTGCCTTACTTAGAAGTTTTCCCACACTGCATTTTAAGTAATGCTAAACAAATGAGACAGTTTGATTTCCAAAACTTCATTATATTTCAAAACATAAACTTTTAATAACAATTACATAGATTGATCACCAGACAACTATGGAAGAGAACGTATTAACAATAAGCAGAAATAACAAGCAATGAAATGTTAATTATAATTCATTGAATTCTGATTTTTTTCTGTCTTTCTGCTCTCTTTTTCTGTTTTTCTTCTTTATAAAATTACATTTTGATCCTTTCCATTCATTCTTTCCATGTATATAAAGTATGTATCTTCCTGGCTTTAGGGAACTAATTAAATTAGTGAGTATAAGGACAAGGGAGACATTTCATAAGCTTTTTGTACATTTTAGGTAAAATGAAAAAGTCATGGATACCAAAGATATTTCAACAGAAACCAAAAGCAAAATGCCTTCAGTTATAGTATGACATCATTTCCTTATTGTTGTTTATCTCTGAACTTGTAACTTTTGAAACTAACTGAAATTCTTCATGATGATCTCTAACTAGTCTCTATAACCTATTTCTAAACTAATATATTTGTGAAGAAGTCTTATCACTAGATATATATACTCCTTTTAGTCTTGCAAGGTGTCTACAGAAGCAGCAAACCAGTGCCTTCTATTTTCAGGGGCATTGACAAAACATAAGTTGTTACTTTAACAAAACTCACCTTGGTGTAAAGGAGTGCATCAAATACAGAACCACCACCAAAACCAGAAGTGCATAGCCAGAACCTGTCCAGTGAGCTTCTTCACATTTGGTACCCCCAGTGTTTGCTCTGTCTCTGCTGATAACAGGACTACGAAGTGCTCCGTTTCCTCTTTTCTCTATTGAAGCATTGTCTAAATGCTTACCAATTATTATTTCTCTTTTTCTGCCCGTCCTTTTGTTGGGGGTCCTGGGTGTGTCTCCAGCCTAGTCATAGAGAACGGAATTTATCTGCCCCACCAAGCCTGCAGTGAGTCAAGCGTTTGAGTCCTGCTTACTGAGAAGTAAGGGTGGCTACGTGATGTAAGACAACAGCTGTGAACCTTATCTCTGGGTACACGGTTTGGGTTACTCTTTCATCATCAGAGCTGCAATGGTTGAGAAGTCACCTGCAGTTTCCCTGACAATGGAAAGGCCACATGGCTGCTTCTTGGAGGATGATTCCCAAGAAAGCAACCTCATAAAGAGAAGTCGCACTGGACTCTCAATGGCTGTTCTGTGACAAAAGGCTTGGCTCCTTTAGTTAGCCACAATCTGCTAACTCTGCGAGCCTGTCTCCGGGGGTGATAGTGCGCTGCCTTTGGGAGTCAGAGCTTTTAAGAAGCTTCGACAGGATGTGAAGGCACCATGTGTGGTCATTACCCCAACAGTAAGTTCCTATGTTGACAAGTTGCAAGGCCTGGCACTGGGGCAGTTTTCTCCACTCCAGCCTGATGTACGTTTCTCGGGCCCTCTGACTTCTGCTTTGTTATTAAATCCTGCACCCTTAAGTGAACTTGTTGGGAGACTGCCCAGGGGTCTCAGTGTAATAAATTGCTAGAGTCTATCTAACTTGACCCAGCCCATCCTTCATGAGTTCTGACAGTGAGTTCCCAAGGCACATTCCACATACTTACCGAGTCATCTCCCAGTACTCAGTAGAGCCCCAGCCCTTGTTGTGGTACTTCAGCTGATACAGATACCCTTAGATTTTCCTGCCCTTGGCTCTTTTCTGGGTGTTTCAGTCTGGGAAATTTCAAGCAGAGGGAGTAGCAGAGCGGACCCCCCCCCTCTTTAATTAGGATTTAGAACTATGCTTCTCAACCTTCCCAATGCAGCGACCCTCTATCACAGTTCCTCATATTGTGGTGACCCCCAACCATACAATTATTCTGTTGCTACTTCATAACTGCAATTTCGCTACTGCTATGAATCGTAAGGTAAATAGGCGATCTGCAAGCCCTGCAGGGGGCGTGACTCACAGTTTGAAACACCAGCTTTGCATGCGAACACAAGAACTGTGTTCAGTGCGTTGATACCAGTGCTGCCTCTGAAAAGCCAACCACAGGCTCAGCTGTAGGAGTACCTGGTGCAGTAATCCTAGACCCCAGAGAAACCAGCACAGAAGCCATTCAGAGAAGAGAGGCAGCCATCCCCGCCCAGCAGACACAGAGAGGCCACTGTGGAGGCTAGATCAATGTTCCTCTTTGTGAGAAGATAAATGATGAGTCCCCTGAAGGAAATTTCCACACGGCTCAGCATCCGCACAGCATAAGTACAGTGCTAAGTTGGTTCTTGGGGGTTCCCAGGGAAACCATTTTAAACAGTTGCAAAAGTGAAACCAGATCAATTATTATTTGATGACCTAAAAAATGTGATTTTCTTGGGGAAAGAAGAAGTGAAACAAACAACAGCGAGCTCCTGTTCTTTGCTGAGCGCTGCCCAGGAAAGTTCAGGTGAGGTTCAGCCATCTGGCCTGCTCGTCAGAGTTCAGCACATCTTAGTGTAGATGCAATACGTTTATCACGAAAGAACACTGAACATATTTATGCATCACTGTGAGATCAGTATTTTGTGTCCTGAGGGGCTGCTTTTAACTTATGATATATTTCTTACACGTGTTCACTCCCAATACATCTACAAAATTCAGATATGCACCATGCCAGACCCTCTGAAGACTTTCAGAAAATTATTCTGGCTGTGCCCCTGTATACCAATTTTTCCAAGGGGATGGTTTGATGTTTTAACTTACTACACCAATAAAAAGCACAAATAATATGCTCATATTTCTCTCATGTTTTCCTGTCAACTCAAAGGAAATGAAGAAAAGCAGTAATTTGCATAGTTTATATTTTATGGCATCAGTTTCATTCTTTAAGATAAAATATGTGTACAAAGACATAGTGGAACATTCAAGAAGAATTCATAAAATCAGTTTGGTTTTTGTTCTGAATGTGTTGCATTCCTTAAGAAAAGAAACAATGAGGATTTACTCATTGGCCTAGATTAAATCTGAATTGTCCTTTCATGGGCAGTAAGATGCAATGGCTTCCTTTTGAGCTTTGTATAATGTGCTTATTAAAGTGTGATGGGTAGACCAAGGTTTATATACAAGGGACAGAAATGCATTTCAACCTTTCCTGCAATAGGAAGAGTAATATAGGGATGGATGAGATACATAAAGATTCTCAAGCTTCACTCAATTAGTAAAATTGATGATTATGGTAAGTTTCTTTCTGTGTCTTTTCCCCCCTTTTTATTCAGGTTCTTATGTAACCTAGACTAGCAACAAACTAGCTGTGTAGCCAGGCATGAGCTTGAATACCTGACCCTCCTGCATCTTCTAAGTAGTGGGTTACCGCTATGCCCAGCGTTACCAAGAGTTTTTAAGTAACTATTATAGAGAAAGCAATAGCAGAGTGTACACACATGCACATATACACTTTTATAATGTCATTTTTAGTCACATGAGGAATAGGAGGAGGGAGAACATCTAAGCTGTAGGTCGCCTAGCTATTCACTGAGAACAGACACCATGGTATGTCAGTGGTCGTGACTGAAAGGCGTTTGTTTCTAACCAGCATGTTCAATTTTTCACTGGAGTCTGGCTTATTTTACATCGGGTTTCAGGTCACACAGTGGGTTAAGGTTTGGTCCAGGCATCTGCAGGACTTTTGGAACTAGGACTACTCCAGGCATATTCTTTTTACAGTGATAGCAAAAGTGCCAGAGGGCAAGACCAACCATTCATGTTCATGTTGCTTATCTTCTCAATGATATTCTAAGGCTCAGGTCATATAGCTGGATGAATCTTAGAATCCAAAACCTCAGGCCCAAGGTGTCCTCTGCCATCTGCACTTGTCAGTGTGATCAGTGAAACAAGCGTACAGGTCAGTGAAAACCGAGAGTAAAAGAATTCCTTCTAATGTAGCAGGATTAATATCTCCTTTATTCATGCGTTTCTCATATACTACTTTTTTTTTTACAAATGCATGAACAAAACTACTTAAAAATATTGGAGACATACTGATCAACGGGAAAGATCTAACAATCCAGATCTTGGATTTATGATCAATTGATATTTTTGCATATGATGTATACGGGGTGTGTGTGTGTGTGTGTGTGTGTGTGTGTGTGTGTGTGTGTGTGTATGTGTGTGTGTAAAACTTCAGACTTGGCCTCTGGTGTTCTCATATATGTCTCCATTTTATTTATTGAGGAAGGGTCTCTCAAATGAGTTAACAAGTCGACAGTCAGCTGGTGTGACTAGCCAGTTTGCCCTGGAGCTCTCTGCTTCGGTGTGCTGACACTACAGGCAGGCATCACCAGTGCCCAGTCTTTACATAGGTTCTGGGGATCCATATTCTAATCCTCCAGATTCTGGTCTTCATGCTTGTGCAGCAACTGCCTTGCCTACAGAGCTGCCTCTGCAGTCCAGCGGGGTGATTTGTAAGAAGGGTGAAAAGACAGTTCAATGGAGGAAAGCTCAGTCTGTTTTAGAAATAGTGTGCATACACACACAGAAGACTGATATAGAACTTATTTTACAACTTATACAAAGATCAACTTGATGGAGATAAAGCATAGGGGCAGAAGAGGTGTGATGGCTATTATTTGTTGTCAACTTGACTACATCTAGAATTAACAAAAACCCAAGCATCTGGGGTAACCTGTAAGGCATTGTTTTCTTAATTAAATCACTTGAAGTGGAAGACTTAACTTTAATCCTGATCCTTTGATGTGGAAAGATCCACCTTTAATCTGGGCCATACCTTCTGGTGACTGCCTATATAAAGGACATCGAAGAAGCAAGCTTTTACTCTCTGCTTGCTTGTCTTTGATCTTGTTTACAAGTTTACTGAGCAACTGGATTCTTGGATTTTTCATTTGTAGATAAGTATTGTTGGTGTTGAACTAGCTGGACCTTATTCAATTCTAATCAATTCTATTACACTTCCTCTCTCTCTCTCTCTCTCTCTCTCTCTCTCTCTCTCTCTCTCTGCAGTACATGTGTGTGTGTGTGTGTGTGTGTATTCATACACACACAATCAGTTCCGTGTTTTTAGAGAACCCTGACTAATATAAGAGGGAAAAATATAAAATACTCAGAAGAAGACAAGCATAAGTCTTCTGGGTTTTTTGGTTTGAATAAGAATGACCCCCATAGACACATATATTTGAAAACTTATTCATCAGGGAGTGGCACTATCTGAAAAGGGTTTGGAGGTGTGGTCTTGCTGGAAAAGTTTATCACAGTGGGTGGGCTTTGAGTTTTCAAAAGCCCAATCAAAACCCAGTCTCTGTCTCTGTCCTTTTCTGTTTCTGTCTCTGTCTCTCTCTCTACCTATGAATCAGGATGCAGCTCCCAGCTTCTGTTCCAGTGCCTATCTGCATGCCAGCATGCTTACTGCTATGGTGATAACGGACTAAACCTCTGAAACTGTAAGCAAGCCCCCAACTAATTGCTTTCTTTACTAAGAGCTGCCTTGATCACAGTGTTTCTTCACATTACTAAAACAGTGACTAAGACCATGAGTTTGAACTGTGTAAATTTTTTAAAATGAATCACAAAACTGCAAGTAACAAAAGAGGGACAGGTCATCTGAGATTTCACAAAATTTAAAAGATCTTGTACTTACAAACGTCCCTCCAAAAATGTGTAAAGATATAATACAGCAATAAAAAGAAAAATAATCTGTTTGAATTCAAGGATTTGAGCAGCTATATATTCATAGAAAATGTAACTAGTCAATGTGCATGTGAAAAAGTGCACAGATCATTAGCCATGGGGGATCTTCAAATCAAACGACAGAGGGGCAGCCTCTTTACACCCACTATAATGGCAAACATACAGATGGGAACAAATGTGGGTGAAGAGCTTCCAATATTTTTCCTAAGGTTGCAAATAGTGCAACCCAGAATTCCCAGGAAGACACCCACCCAAGAAGACACAAAGAAATTGTCATGTGGTAGATCTGTGAAGCTCTTAGATTCTGTAAGAGAGATTTCTTTGTGAGTGGCAGCTAACACAGAAACTGACAACTAGTCAGAGTACAGAGAACAAGTACCCATGTAGTGCCCAGCCATACACGAGACATCTATATCATACTTCTTATCCCCAGGTCTCAGGGACCATCATGGAAGAGAGGTGTGGAAAGATTAAGAGCCAGATGTCAGGGAGGACTAGGGCAAAGCAGTGTCTTCTGAACATGACAGGACCATTGTACTGAGGAACTGAGAAGTGATGGTTGTCTGCATAAGACCTCAGGATCAGGCCAGTCAACAGTCCAGAATGGAAGGGCGAAAGGTTCA